TATTGTTCTCCAATGAAAGGTTAGGTTTTTGTACATTTTAAAAATAAAAGTTCAAGAGGATTCATTATACAGATTTATTTTCTTTTTACTTCTTTGATCATATTTACCAAGGGTGTGAATAATTTTGAGCACAACGGTACAAAAGTGATTTTTCTCTATGTGTGTTGTTGTTTGATTAACATTCATCGCACAGAAAGCAGCAGGAACATTAAACTGCAGTGAACCAATATAGCCACTGTTACACATCCATTTTCTTTCTCAATTGTTTACCTTCACCTAAACCATAAGCATAACTGTGTTTACAAGGATACTTGCAGAGACATGCATTGTGGCATAATTTTGCACGTATGTGTCATTTCAGGCACAAATAGATGCGGAAGTGAACGGAGTTCAGTGTTCACGTATCTGCGTGGCTCTCCCGCATAGAGTGGATGAATACATTTATGTATTTGTTTATGTATAAACTTTATTAGGTTAGTTCAGTAGGCTACTTCGAGCGTCTTGCACATTAAAGGGATAGTTCACCCAAAAATGAGAATTTGATGTTTATCTGCTTACCCCCAGGGCATCCAAGATGTAGGTGACTTTGTTTCTTCAGTAGAACACAAACAATGATTTTTAACTCCAGCCGTTGCAGTCTATCAGTCTTATAATGCATGGCAATGGTAACAAAATCTTTGAGAGTAAAAAAAAACATGTTAGTAGGTGTAGCTTCGCCTGGATATCAACACACCCATTAACGTAAACTACGCCAGAGCGCGTACACACCTCACGCACCGGATGCCGTGCACGCGCTCAAGGCAGTTGGACATAGTGGTGTATTAGAGGTAAAAAATGATATAAATACTGTTCGGTTTCTCGCACAAACCGATCGTTTCGTGTCTTAGGACATCAATGTGTCGTCACGAGCCGCAGGGTTTAATTTGGATTTGTCTGTGCATGTTTTTTTTACTCTCAAAGATTTTGTTACCATTGCCATGCATTATAAGACTGATAGACTGCAACGGCTGGAGTTAAAAATCATCGTTTGTGTTCTACTGAAGAAACAAAGTCACCTACATCTTGGATGCCCTGGGGGTAAGCAGATAAACATCAAATTCTCATTTTTGGGTGAACTATCCCTTTAAGCACCGCAAACATGTTTTTTTTTTTTTTAGAAAATATAATAATATGGCTATTTTGTTTAATAACTGCATTTCTTGTACTTTGAATTGTTTTTTTTTTTCTCTAACTCAGATTATAGAACAAATGAGTTCCGACTAGCTCCGGTACTGGGGTGCCGTGATGAGGTAGGTCTAATGGTGATGCTTCACGACCAATAGAAAAAGTCTGTGCGAAAGATGTACAGAATATTTATTTAGCTGTTATTTCGAAAGCTTTAAATGTAATTTTCTAAATGACATCAGCAGTGTTTATTGGTTTACCAGTGTCTATAATTGGCTTATTCGCTGCTCTGCTGTGAGATCTGTTTATTGAGACAAAATGTGCAAAAAAAAGATACGTTTAGGGGTACAACAGCAATGGGGCTATACTATTACAGGACATCTTTGTACCTTGTCTACCCCTAAAAAGTACTATATGAAACTTTTAGGGGTAAATAAAGTACTACCCCCTGACAAGCCCCTAAAGGTACACTGTAAAAAATATCTGTGACATTTACGGTAAAATACCGGCAGCTGTGGTTGCCAGAACTTCACCGTAAAAAATATGGTAACAACATTTTAGGTTTTACAGACTTAACTTAAATTCACAATAAAATACCGTATTTCATTAACTGATGTAATGTTAATAAACCAACATATTGAAGTGTTAATATCTGTTTTGAACCATTGCAATGCACTGATAACCACCAAAAACGGGTGGTGATGAAAAAGTCACATGATGAAAAAAGCTCATCACAAACAGCTTTTCTACGAGCTAAAGAGGGCAATTCTTATATATAGAAGGTGCACAGTGTCATTCACACAAACACTAAACCCCATCATGGTGACACACATGATACTGAAATAATGCAATACACATTAATTTAACAACATTAGATGTAAGATGTACACCTTAATGTACACAACTGATAAGAAAAAACTAAGAAGAAACATGTTATTTCAACAAAAAAACATCAAATATGAAGTGTCATGCAGGGAATTCTGAGAGTGTCAATTTACGGTTTTTCTATGTAAATTATACAATGGCTTTTTCTTTTTCACTTCCAAAAACCGTATTTTTAACAGTATTTTACTGTAAAATTACATTAAATATAATTACATTTATTCACCGTATATAGTATGGAAACTTACTGTTAACCAGTTAACAGGTTTTTACTGTAGCATTTTTACAGTCTTTTACTGTTAAAATCACAATCATTTTTTACAGTGTACGGTTTTTGCATATGTACTTTTTTCTGAGAGCGTAGCACACCCAATTGATCAAAAGTAGGGTTATAGCCTACTATGAGAAGTGAATTCTGATTTTACACACCGAAATAAGAATAAGGATTTAGGTGGTTAGCATAGCCTCATTAGTCCTTGCTATTCAATGTCTTGATTACACCAATCTGTAGGCAAAAATATCTCTCTCCATAAATGTTTCACCACTTACTTCTCCGAAACAGATGAGAACTAAAGACAACCTCAACAACCAGAGAACATCTGTTAACAACCAGTGAACAGCTGCGTCATATCATAGATAGTGCAAGTTCAAGTCATTAGATGTTTTCCTTCAATTTACTTATTTTAAACATTCACAAGCATTGACACACATACCCACCAACAACATGTGCATTATGTCTTCAATAAGAAAGTCCTCTTCAGGATGTGGGATCTAGGTGTGATAACAAGGTTCTTAGAAATGACCTTTGCTAAGTTCTACTGAAATATCACACTGTTACATAATGTGAAAGTCATGGACAACAAGATTAATCTTAATCCAAAGAATATACAGCATTTTAATGTTTCACAAAGAAATATGCTTTTGAATGTCAACATTTTGCTTTGATGTTTCATTTTTTGTGAGCTTCACATCAGCAGGAACCAAGAAGAAAACAAAAAGCCCAGATGCAATCTTCACACCTACAGTCATCACATGCACATGCTGCTTGTCCAGCAGAATCTACCGTTTCGACATCAAACCACATTGTTTTCCAGATCGGACGTCAAATAACAGGTTTCATTTTGACACCCGACTGAGTTCAAGCACTGCTTGCGTTCAATCACAGTCACAGCAAAAGCACATTTGCACTTCCCTTTTGGAGTTTTCCACTTGTTCTTCACATGAGCTTCATTATCACATTAAGATGAGTTAAACCACAGATTTTATTGTAAAATAAAATAAACTGAATGAACGTGGATGAGTGTAAGAGAAATCTCATTGTTATCATGGAAGTCAGCATTCTTACTTTATAGGCTCATAAGCATCAACAATGTTTGAGCACAAGGCGCATTGTTTAGCTGGATTGAGGTTGGTGTAAATCCACTTAAACCACCTGTGAGCCACATTAAACAGTCTGACGAATCGTAAATGTATTCATTTGTGGTGTTTGTGCTTTGACCAGTAAAAGTAGCTTCTTTGAATTCTCCATGACTTGTAAATGACTTTTTTCATCAATAAGAAACCTCTCATGTCAGTGATTTTGCATGCTCAGGTTAGCTGTCGTATCTGTGGAGGGAGGAGAGAACAGATGCAGCGGATTAGAACTAGTTTCCATTGTCTGCAAACCACAGGCTTTCAGTGTTTTAATCTTGAGCACCTTGAGTGATATTATTTCCGAGCGCTGAACTGTTGAGGAAAATGTTCGACAGATTAATTTTGTTCTGTTTGTGCTGTTGCTGTCTGGTCGGTAAGTTAAACATGTTATGCTTTATGGTAGCAGATTAATTATTTAGTACAAATGAATAATGCTCAACTAAAATCAGACAGATGTGCTCTGGCTTATATTGTTAGATGAAAAGTGCTTTAAATCCAATTGAGGCATTACTATGAGATGTAGGATTTGTACGATTTTTGTAATTTTAGTTTTTGAAAGAAGTCTCTACTCACTAGGGCATTTGTTGCAAAAATACAGTAAAAACAGTAATAATGTGAAATATTAAGATTTCAAATAACTGTTTATTATATATTGTTTCTTAACTGTTTTTTTATATTTAAATATATTGTAAAACATAAGTTATTTTTGTGATGCAAACCTGGATTTTCAGCATCATTACTCCAGTCTTCAGTGTCACATGATCCTTCAGAAATCATACTAATATGCTGATTTACCGCTCAAGATACATTTCTGATTATTATCAATGCTAAAAACTGCTATTTTTGTGAAAACCGTGATACATTTTTCAGGATTGTTTGATGAATAGAAAGTGAAACATTATAAATTAATTTAATGCATCCTTGTGATATAGATTCAAGTCTGATGTCTAGCGAGTAAGTCTTTATAAAAGAGTTATAAAATGATATTTGTGTGGAACTCTTTTCTGCTTAAAATTTTTTTTTTGAGAAAATGCTACATGACGCCACATGAAGTATACTGAACATTATTTAAAAAAAAAAAAAGAAAACGTTGACCAAAGGCTTTTCAATACCATGTCAAACAAAGACAATTATTAATAGATTTCTTTACTAAGTTATTTTTGTGATGCAAACCTGGATTTTCAGCATCATTACTCCAGTCTTCAGTGTCACATGATCCTTCAGAAATCATACTAATATGCTGATTTACCGCTCAAGATACATTTCTGATTATTATCAATGCTAAAAACTGCTATTTTTGTGAAAACCGTGATACATTTTTCAGGATTGTTTGATGAATAGAAAGTGAAACATTATAAATTAATTTAATGCATCCTTGTGATATAGATTCAAGTCTGATGTCTAGCGAGTAAGTCTTTATAAAAGAGTTATAAAATGATATTTGTGTGGAACTCTTTTCTGCTTAAATACATAAATTAATATTTAACCAAAACTTGCTCTCCAGGTGCGTTTGGTGATTCAGATGCCGTGAAGTCGGTGTCAGTGACGGAGGGAGATTCAGTCACTCTGAACCCTGATCTTACTGATAAACAATCTGACAATCTGATCATGTGGAACTTTAAAACTAATGGGCCTCTTATTGCGAAAATCGATCAAGCGACCAACGATATCTCGATAATAGATGATGGTCCAGATAAGAGATTCAGAGACAGACTGAAGCTGGATCTTCAGACTGGATCTCTAACCATCACAAACATCACAACTCAACATGCTGGAGTCTATCAAGTAACCATCAGCAGCAAGACAAAGACTATTTATAGATTTAGTGTTACTGTCTATGGTGAGTAGAGGTTTACAGTTTGCTTTGTTTATATAATACCATTTTTCATATATAATTGACACTTGCTGTTTATTCTCTAATGTTTTCAGCTCGTCTGCCCGTTCCTGTCATTATAAGTGACTCCCCGCAAAATTCTTCATCATATTGTTCATTGGTGTGTTCAGTGGTGAATGTGAGTCGTGTGACTCTCTCCTGGAGATGATCGTGGTGTCCTTTTTACTTATGAACAATTTATGCAAGAATTTTCTTTTCCAGTCCCCCCAAGAGAATATGCCATTGTGTTTGGTGCAATTCCCAATTGTATTATACCTTTAGTAAAATCTGGCCCTAAAGGTTCGTTCGACTCTCCTCTTTTTGATAACACTAACTTATTTGTTGACCAAAGTCTTCTCAATACCATGTCAAACAAAGACATTCGTTCAATTATTAATAGATCTCAGATTTCTTTACCTGCTTGTGTGAGTTTTTGGAATAACATATTTAGTGATATAGATTGGGAAGAGTTTTGGCTTCTTCGACAAAAATTCTTCTTCTTATCTAATAAAGTTGTTGAAGTCCCTATCAAAATTATCCATAATTGTTATCCGGTAAATGATAAACTTACTAAATTTAACAATAGTAGTTCCCCCAATTGCTCCTTTTGCCTTCAGTCTGAAGAAACAATCAATCATTTGTTTTGGGACTGTGCTTATTCTAAAGTGTTCTGGGTTGACTTTTCCAATTTTGTTAACAAATATTTATATCCAAACTTTTGTATAACCCCAAAAATTCTGTTTTTTTGGTTACTCTTTGAATTTAGACCCTTCTCACTGTAAATGTAATATTAATCTATTGCTATATCTTGCTAAATTTTACATTCATAAGTGTAAATTTTCAAAGAAAACTCCCTACTTTTTTATTTTCAGGAAAGATTTTGATGTGTATGTAAACTCTTTAAGAAACTCTAATAATTCTATTGCATGTAAGACTCTTTCATGGTGTAAGTCTTATAAGCTAACATAGTATGCTTTGGAGTATTGTTTGTAACCCTTATTGTCTTTTGTTCTTACTTGTTTTTGTAATTGCTGTTCTTCTATTGCATAATAAAAAAATAAAAATTAAATACAAAATAAAAACTCCTGGTACAAAGGAAACAGTTTATTGTCCAGCATCAGTGTGTCTGATCTCAACAACAGTCTGTCTTTACGTCTGGAGTGTCTGGATGATTCCTACAGCTGTGTGGTGAACAATCCCATCAGCAACCGGACTAAATATGTCAACATCACTGGTCTCTGTCGGCCATGTTCAGGTATGTTAGCATCTTGTGGAAAAAGGCTATGCATGCCAACAGTTTAGTGCATGTTTTGCTGTTCATCTTTCGCGAATGTAAAATGTTGTTCTTTTGTTTTCTCAGATTGTGCCTTCTGTTGTCATGCTTCTGAAGCTCTCGCCCGATTGGCTGTCTCTGTTGTGGTGGGCGTGGTTACTGTTGCTATTATAGTTTATGACATCATCACATCCAGGAAAGGTGTAAATGAGAGACGCCGTGACTTGCTAATACAATATAAGATGGCTGTTCGTGATAATTCAAATTGTAAATCCATATAATTAGCTTTTTTGTTCTTGTTTTTATATATTCCTTTGGCTAGGGTGTATTTTATATTAATTTTGAAATGTGTTATATATGGAATGTTCAAAATTTGCGTAAAACTGTGTTTTTTATTTATTCATTGCAATTTGTGTTTATGTGTGTGGCATTTAATAAAAACTTGGCATTTAAAAACAACAGGAGAAATTACTTAATATTCATATATTTTCATGTTTTTTTTTTTATCGAATGGCAAATTATTTTAAAGACGCAAATAGCCTATATGTGGCTTAAAATGTGCAATAACAATCTTAACAGCTATAAGCATAAGCATTTTAGACATTTATTTGCATCAAAGTGTTGTTTTGAGTTGACAACATCAAATTCCAGGAGTCAACTTGTATTAACTTATGTTAGGCTGAATTAACAAGCGTCTTTACCAGCTAAATTGCTGACACTGCATTCGGAATATAAATATTTGGATATTTTCCATATAATCAGTGACTTCAGACCTGTTCGGCACTAAGTTGGACTAAAATTTAACTGTAATGACAGCTGAAAATCGCTTTGAAATGTTTTATTTATAGTTTAGCGTTTTATTATATTTAATCTGTATATCTGTATTTATGTTCTACTGTTAGTGTTATCTGTATGCACCAAGGGTCTGAGAGTAACGCAATTTCAATTCTCTGTGTGTATGTGCTGTACATGTGGAAGAATTGACAATAAAGCAGACTTGACTTGACTTGACTTGACTTGATATCCAAGTTGTGGATGCGACAACAGCGCCTCCTGCAGGCTGTTAACATTTACAACAGCCGTAAACTGAACAATATGCATACAGTATCAAAAGAAAACATTTCTAAACGAAGGAAACTTCTTCACTTAGATGCCATCTACTGTATATAAACGTTTGCTTTATCACCCCCTCAAGCGTGTTCGTCCCCTCACTAAACACCAACACCAATCCACAATCAATCATATCAAATATTGCCTCCATCACGTGGTTCCTAATAACTCAAGCCTCTACGCGACTGTTCTTTAAAGTTGCGCTGCTCGATACACGCTGGATCCTCGGTGTCATCGCTAAACTCAGCATGAAGAACCTTGGTGTCATTTTTATGTTCCTATTATTGGTAAACGGTAAGGTTTTGTATTTATTTAATTGTTCTTATATTATTTGAAACGATTCAAAGCTTTCGGTTCGGTTCGATTTACGTGTTTTTGGGAAGTTTGGTGGCTTCCGGGTCTTTAAGCCCCTAATTTTAGCCTATTATTGTTATTTTTATATATTTTTTAAATGTCTGTATATCTGACAAAATCTTAAATGTTCCAACACCTTTTGTTATGTTGAATATTATTAAATTGCTTTCCCCCACATTAATCTACATTCCATAAACCTATGTGATAATAACTTTGCCAATTTCTTAAAAAGAACATGAAATGTCACAAGTATTCAGACCCTATGCTATGACACTTGAAATTGAGGTACATGTCATTTCCAACATCTTTGAGATTTATCTAGACCTTATTTGGAGTAAATATGTGGTCTATGCCTATGGTTTAAGTCAGGAGTGTCAAACTCAGCCCTGCACAGATTCAACCTTAATTAAACACGTCTGATCCGGCTAATCAAGTCATTTAAGCTTATTTGAAATCTACATGGTATGTGTGTTGAAACTAAACTTTACAGGGCTGTGGGCCTCCAAGAACTGAGTTTGACACCTGTGGTTTAGTTTATGGGACGTGTTCATTTCTGCTTTAATAGTGCATGTGGATTTTATTGTAAATGACTGCTTCTGTGTTTTGCAGTGGTGTCTGGCGTTGAGACAGATATTGTGGAGTCAGTGTCTGTGATTGTGGGAGATTCTGTCACTCTACAGACGGAAGTTACTCAAATACAGAGCCGTGGTTTGATTGAGTGGAGGTTTGAAGGATATCTCATTGCTAGAGTCAACAGTGACTCCAATAAGAGAGTACAGGCTAATGTTACTGAGGAATTCAGAGACAAGCTGCAGCTGGACAATCAGACTGGAGATCTCAAGATCAGAAACATCAGAACTGCAGACTCCGGACTTTATGAACTTGATATCAACAGTGCCAGAGGGTCATCAAAAAAGTCCTTCAATATCAGTGGTGAGCATGTCAGATATTTAGGTGAAGTTTCAGACTCAAGGTGAATGTGTTTGCTGACTGTCAGAAACATTTCTGTTCATTAGGTGTGCTTGATTTGGCGTCAGATGGCGTGAAGGTCGTGTCGGTGATGGAGAGAGACTGTCGTTCTACCCTCAGGTCTATCTAAAATACGGAGAGAAGATCAGATAACCTGGAAGTTTAAAGGCACGCTCATAGCTGAAATAAATCAGACAGCCGGAATCTTCTCTACATATGATGTTCTTGATGGGAGATTCAGATACAGACTGCATCTGAACAATCAGACTGGATCGCTCATCATTACTAATGTCAAACCCAAAATCTCTGGACTTTATGAAATCAACATCAGCAAGAGCAGATACACCACGCACAAGACATTCAATGTGACATCTATTGGTGAGTCGCTGAAATAGTGAAATTCATTAAGGATCTTTGGATCAGTATCAAAATCGGTTAAAATGTCGTTTTAATCACGTTCTCAGAAATCTTATATTTGTGTTGTTATTGGTTTTACATTTTGGTCATTGTATTTAGAAGAGAATGCCTTCGGAGAATGACTTTTTTGTAATGTGGCTTTTCATCATTGTTATCTCAAGATAGCTGAACCATCGGGAAATTATATATGATGTTTAATTAAATATAATTTGGCGGCTTCGTAGTAATACTTAGCTTGTCGCGTGTCGCCATCACTGCTGTAAGGAGACACGATGACAAAAAAATAAAAACTGTTTTCATTCTCTCGCATAACATTTGCGTTCTCTCCCAAAAGCACTGAAAGACATGTCCCATTAGGGGCTCCGTAAAAAAAAAAAAAAAAAAAAAGATTCCAGGTACAGTCACATTTATCGTTGCTCTGTGAAATTTTGATGGCGAAATCACTTCTTTCCAATATGGAATCCACGCAATAGGGAGTTTTGCGTCAGGGTAAATGTTCATAAAACAAATTTGACTCAGGTTTAAGTTCATGTTCAAGAAAGCTTCTTGGCTCAAAAGTGACTTCTGTGTGAAATGTGCTTCATGCGTTTGTATAGCCTACGACTGACGATAGGCTAATAGACAGTTGACTTTTTTTTGCATATGAAATTTCACGGAAATGTCGATAGCTCACCCAAAAATGAAAATTCTGTCATTAATTACTCACCCTCATGTTGTTCCAAACGCACAAGACCTCCGTTCATCTTCGGAACACAAATTAGGATATTTTTTGATGAAATCCGAGAGCTTTCTGACCCTGCATAGACAGCAATGCAACTGACACGTTAAAGACCCAGAAAGGTGGTGAGGACGTTGTTAAAATAGTCCATTTGACATCAGTGGTTCAACTGTAATTTTATGAAGCTACGAGAATACTTTTTTTTTGTGTGCAAAGAAAACAAAAATAACGACTTTATTCAACAATTTCATCTTTTCCGTGTCCGTCTTCGCTGCAGTATCACAACGACTATTTTACACATGGACTATTTTAACGATGTCCTTACTACCTTTCTGGGCCTTGAACGTGTCAGTTGCAGGGTCAGAAAGCTCTCGGATTTCATCAAAAATATATTCATTTGTATTCCGAAGATGAACGAAGGTCTTGCAGGATTGGAATGACATGAAGGTGAGTAATTAAAGATAAAAATTTCATTTTTGGGTGAACTATCCCTTTAAAATGAAGAAGATTGCATATCCTTTTTTCATGTGTTGCGGCGTCGAGTCGTGTCTGCTTAGGATTCGAGTCGATTCCTGGGGAATGGATTCATTGTAATTGCTTAATTGCTGTCTGTGAAAGTTCTCCTGTGTTTTAATGTTGAGACAGATGGAGAGAACAGGCTGTCTGTGATGGAGGGAACTTCTGTCACGCTAGAATCTGGTGTTTCTGATATACACACAGATGACGTGATCGTATGGAGGTCTGAGCATGGAGACTCTGTCATAGCAAAAATCGATAGAGGGACAAAGGTCTTCACTACATTGGATGAAGCTGATGGGAGATACAGCGGCACACTGGAGCTGGACAGTAAGACCGGATCTCTGACCATCAGGCACATCAGAACTAAACACACTGGACTTTATCACCTGGATATCACCGGCAACCGGCGCACAGTATTCAAGAGATTCTTTATTTCTGTCTGTTGTGAGTATTTGAAGAGTTTTAATGTAGGCTAATAATAACCAGTGCTTTGAGAACAATTGAGTGAACTTAATATTGGTGTATTTTAAAACTGACAAACAAAATAGAAATGTGCAAATGTCACTCAGAAATGCTGATAAAATTGATGATTGGTTCATCTTTTTCTCATTACAGCACAGAATTGGTCTCGATATGTTATGGTCGGAATTGTTGTTGCTGTTTTGCTGTTGGTCGTGATTGGAGCCGTTGTTGTGATTCGTCGTGGTCAAACGCAAAATGGCAAGTATTACAAACAGCTGATATAATAAGCGGAGCATTTGCGATTTACTATGTAACAGAGACTTTGAAGATGAAAAAATGTGTTTTCATCATCAAAACATTTTAAATGTGTGTTTAATTGGGCTCACTGCCATTAGGGGAAATCCAGTATCGGGTAAGATGCTGTTTGCACCATTATGTGCAACATAATAAAATTGTGTTTTTGCTGACTCTTGATTTTGGGGGTTTGTGACACTACTGTCCAAACTGGTGCTCAGATTGTCAGTTTGGCCATTTAAAATAAACTCTCTAAGAACTTCCTCAAATGCAGACTTTTGGGAGAAGTGATACCAGTCTTGTCATCGCTGTCTTATTTAATGTTAGTTTTGGACACATTTTCAGACTGAGAATTATGACATCTCAAAAAGACCTTATACTGAGTGTTCCTGATCGTATCTGATATGTTCCTTTTGTTTCTCTTGTTTTTGTGTTTCAGTTAATGGCTCTGTAATATGAGAGCGATGTTTTGCATTTTTTGCGTGCGGTGATCAGATGTCCGTCCAATTCCACTGAAGGTGGAAATTACATCCAGCTAAAAATATGCACCAAGCCTCAACCAGCTTTTGAAGGATGGACGTTTTTTTTTTTGTACTATGACCTTTTCAAAAGGAGTAATTTCATTGATTAAAATAATGTTGTTTTGATGTCCATAGTGATCAATATTCAAGCACTTATGCATGGTTTTATTAGTTTGTCTGACAAGAGAATGTTACTGTACTGTACAATTTCCACACACATTTATATGTAGTATTAAATAGAACATGGTGCTAGAAACATAACTGAAAATTGAATGCAATCCTAGTCGTTGTGTTATATCTAAAATATAACTATATAATATATAAACTATATATAAAATATATATCTATAAATATAATGTTTTCTGAGTTTATTATCTGAAATAACGGTGTACTGAGCTTTTGCTGAATGTTTTAAAAGCTTGACCTTTAACATTTTAGGCTTCTTTGGACATCATGATCTAAAGATTCATAATAGAAACCTGTCTGTGTGACTTCTGTGTATCTCTTTCATATTACTTTTTATATTTGCTCCGTTCATTTGTTGCTCATTTCATCAGTCACTGTCAAATCTTATGTTGTTGTGTGGTGTCTTAGAAATAAGGGAAAGTCTCCATCTCAGGGTGTGCCTTTGCTTTCATATAGTAATCTTTGTTGAATTTATGCTGGTCAAGGTCTGTATGTTTAAAGCTGGTTTTATTTTCATATTTCATTTTGAATAACAATTATATTAAATTAAATGATCTTTATATGCGTGTGTGATAAATGCCAATAAAAACAGGTCTGATTCTCTATAGTGACTGGAATGTGTGAGTTTGTCATGAAAGGATTTCATTTGTATTCAGACCCTAACACTGAATTATTTGCATTCTCTGTACATTATGGGATTTCAAATCTCTACTTCATAAAACGTTCACCTTTAACGTTTTAGGATTCAAAATATTACCATTAGCTACTAAACGTTTTCTAGCTGTTTAACTCGATCTTCAGCAATAAGAACAGTGTCTAATCTTAAAATGTATTTTAATATTTTCTTAATATTTGTAAACGTGTGTTTATATTGGTTGGCGACGCTAATATTGAATAGGTAAATAGTAGTAGTATAATATGCTAAACCAGCATATGCTGGTTAGGTAAGTTTTGAAGCTGGGATGCTGGTTTAAGCTGGTCCTTAGCTGGTCATGTGCTGGTATAAGACCAGCATAAACCAGCAAAGGACCAGCTTAAACCAGCAAAGGACCAGCTCAAACCAGCATCCCAGCTTCAAAACTTACCTAACCAGCATATGCTGGTTTTTTCAACAGGGTATGTATATGCATTATGCTATCAGTCAGTCACAAGGGCAGACTTTGTGTGATGCTGTTAATAAATAAATAAATATATACACACACATTATATAGATTGTTACTACAGTAAAGCTGGTATTAACCACTGCTTTATATATAAAGAAAAAATGTCTCTTTTAAGATTCTATATTAAATAATGTTTTCATAGTGAGAACAATAACTATTTAAAGTAACGTTTGGGTGAAACTATGGTTACTATGGTAAAACGCTTTGTGGTTTATCAATGCATAATTTTCTTTCTGGTAAAGTACATATTTTCAAATATTTACTTTTTAATTAGCGTAGGCCTATAATATCGTGCAATATAACTGTGTTTTGCCTAAGCAAATACCACATTACAATCACAATTTACGTGGAAATATGACCAATCCCTCTAGTGGTCAAATGATAATAGTTTAATTTTTGAGGTTGTTTACATCTGTAGCGCATGAATGAAGGCAGTGAGGTAACTTAGTAGATAAAAATAACACTTGCATGCTGCAGTATAGAACTGTCTGTAAGTTATCTAAGCTATGAACTAATAGAACATTTGAGATGGAAATTCAAGAGGTTATATTACAATAGAGGCGCTTTATGTGAAAACATGCATTTATGAAACAAAGTGGCAAGTTTGGATACATTTCACTTGTTGTCTAGTGTACGATTATCAACAGACAGGGACGTGTCAGACGTTTACTAAAAGTTTTTATTTTCATGTAAAGTTTGTAAAAGTCCACTAGTTTGTAAAAAAAAAAAAAAAAAAAGGAATGTTTTTATTGAACAACTCGCAGGGTGACGCCTTGTTCGCGTGACGTCATACGCACAGCATCAACGTTATGGACTTCTGGGTCAGTTTTAAATCTTGGTCCTGAGCCATCTATCTGGACATCACAATATCACACATTTGAGGGTGAGCTATTTTGACAAATTTAAAAAAAAACACTCTGGCGCACAGACTCAAGACTCGATTCCACATTCAGCTGTTTTTCTTTTTCCTGAGAATGGATCGTTTTCTTCATAAAAAGCAGGTGCAGACCATCATCGCTCACAATGTTGTATCAAGTTCCCTTAAGGTAAGATTATTTGTCTACATGTTTCATCTTCAACATTTTGGGCTTGGATTTTGAAATTGTCTTGCTAAAACCGGTATAAAGTAGGTTCGACATTTCTCAGAGATTCAGCCTCGGAAATGTTCAGTAGTTCTTATTTAGCATAATGGCAAGAAACATACTGTGTTTCAATTGTTTTCAAATGTAGAAGAGAACACACAATGTGTTTTATTTGTTTGCCTTAAAGGCAGTAGCGGCTCCTGAATGTAAATTTCAGATTCTGGGTCGTAGCACTAATATATGAAAAACATGTAGTAAACTTTATATTCTAATCTCTCTACACATGAGGACAACATTTTGGCAGAGATGTCGTTGCGTTATCCAGTGGGTGGCGCGCTAATGTTGATTGACAGGCTCGAAGTAATGTTACACGCATTAAATGCTGTATAATAATTGCCTTAGTGGAGCAATTCGGGTGAGGAAAGACGATCATATGTCTATTCTCAGAATAATAATAAAACAAACAATAGATATAAAGGCTATTCATGTAAGCACATTTAAACTAAAATGATTTATACTTAATTAATACTTAGTTAATTTGATCCACTACTCATCCACTACCAAAAACACACCTGAACCAGCTCTTGAGGGTCTTCATGAACACTTGATAATGATGCAAACAGGTGTGTTGAGGCTGACATTTTTAGAAAGGTGGATCTTCAGGAACAGGGCACCCTGGTTTAGAACGTTAAGTGATGAAAGGTCAGTGGTGTGTCAACGATTTACAAATGTATATTTTTAGGCATTTGGCTGCTCTGCTGTGAGATTTGTTTATACTGCACTCTATTAGAGCTTTTCCAAAGATGAAGTCTTATTTTTTAACACTAGATGGCGCTCTATGCAGCAGTATGCACACTTTCCTCTAAATCAGGAGTGTCAAACTAGATTTAGCTAGCTTGTTGCTAGATTTAGCAAATTTATACCCTAGCAAAAATAATTTTTTCAAAAAAGCACAAATTTAGCAATTTTTGAAATTTATTTGGCTACTTTTAGCAAGTAAATCAAATCCAAAGATCAGTAGTGACTGCAAACCTAACTCAATAGATGAGCTGTTCATTCATAAATCCTTAAGATCGCTGTAGAAACACAAACTGCAAGACTAAAGACAACGAGCGCAGGGGCGGGGCTACACAAGGTCTAAATAGCCAGGCAAAGAAGCTGCAGCAAAAATTGTTGGCTGGGTGCAGCAGCAGTAGCACGCATTTCACACTTTTCTTAAAGTAATTAAAACAACAACCACAGTTAAAACTGAATTTGAAATGAATTTTTGATCTGGAAGAGACTTAACTATAACTAGTAACATGTCTCAATCAAAACTGTATTGCCAGAAATACAGAAAAGAGTGGGAGTCTTACCTGAACTTAAAGGGTGGCTGAAGCCAGTAGTTGGGGATGACTGCCGAGCATACTGTGCAATGTGCATGCTGCAAATCCGATATGCTTGCAAAAATGTATAACATCAAAAAACATCGTACTACAGCAAAGCATATAAATAAATCAAAACCATATAACCCCGCAAAGCAGTCGACATTACCAGTTAAGGAAGGATAACTGCTAAAATGCAGAAGTTACTATGGCAATGGCCTTTGCGGAACACTGTTCACTGCTAGCATTCGGCCATTTAGGTATGGCTTGCAAAGCTGCCTTTTCAGATAGTAGAAGTAACACTCCCAAAAGCTTTGTAAGCCTAAGTTGATTGTAGCTCCATTGGTGGCACTGGGACTATGATTTACTTAGGCTTACGATGCTTTTGGGAAACGCAGCCCAGCAGAGTTCCAGAGCTCCAACCCTAATCAAATACACCTGAACCAGCTAATTGAGGTCTTCAGGATTACTAGAAACTTACAGGCAGGTGTTTTGGAGCTAGTTAGAGATACACTTTGCAGGGCAGTGGCCTTCCAGGAGTGGAGTCTGACATGTGCTGTAAATGAAATCTCAAAGGATCAAGGTTTGTCTGGTTAGCATGACCAGCTAGCCCCTGCTGTTAGAAGTAACTGTCTCATTATATGGGTGAAAGCACCTTTGTACTTTGACAGTCATTCATTCATCATAGTATTGTAGAGTTACAGATTTAAAGCATCTTAAAATAGATTTTGTAATATAAAGTGATCAGTCACATGGCGTTATGACTCAAATGCTACACAAAGAAAAAGAAGCTTTATTTGAGAAAAAATGCCACTGAAGTTGTTGAAAAAGGCACTTTTTAACTGAATTTTCTTTCATTTGGTTTTTCACCTTTGAGGCAAACTCATTTATCACAGACCAGTTGAGTGATTAAAAGTACTGCTTTGAGAAAATGTTCAGGTACTGCGATGTGCCTTTGGATGGCAACACTGTTATTTCACTGAAAAATATAATTTGCATTATAGTACAAATATATAGTCGCATCATAGCAATTCTTAGTTAATTACTGCCCAAAAGGGATGAAAAATAAATGATTAACTACTGATCAACTGCATGATAATATAAACATTACAACAGAAAATTGTATTTATGACAGTAAAATTATTAAGATATTGACATACGAAAACAGGATACAATGTTTGTAAAAAATAAAGATATGATATTAAGAGAAGTTGTTCTTAGAAATTACTTCAGATTCTTTTGCTAGAGCTGGAAATGACTACTGACTGCACTTTTTATTTACACACGTCACCACATTTAATTTTCACACTTCTCATGTTCTCACGCCACATGTCCATTTTTTCTTGCAGTGAAAACACATCGCAGAGCAAAGAGGACAAGACAGTAGGTTACTTCCGATAAGAAACAAAATCTAAGCTTTCAAAGAAAATACTATAATATTTGACAGTAATATCACACTTTGATGTGATCTCTCTTTTTTTTTTGACAAGCACAGTACTGATGGGTATTTCATGATAAAGCTGTTCCTTGTAAAGCAGAAGTCAAACTGTGAATGTCGTATGTGTAGAAATGGAAAAACACTGTTAAACCACATGCTATTGACACATCAAAATAAACACACAAACTGACATTAACCACAGATGTCCAGTAATAGACTCGTGCTCATGCAGACTCTGCTTGTCTGTCCAACAGATCAAACCACATCTCTGTGCAGATGGAAAAATATCAGACCACAGCAGGTTTTATTTTTGACTTGCAAACTGAGCTGCTAGAGCCTCAAACTGGCAGGGGCCTCTAAAATTAGTAGAACAAAAGGACTTACTTTTTTTTTTTTTTTTT